GGTTGAGTTGCTCGAGAATATCATGTAGTGATTGTCTGATGTTATATCACCGCTATCCTTCCACCATACTTCGCTAAGGCCCAGAATTTTAGTTTTGCAGCGAGTCATTTCCTTGAATAGTTGTGCTAGTCGGAATGCCTGCGCCAATGTCTGGATGTTGCCAATTCGTATGCCTTTTTGATAGCCAAGGATCGTTGCCGGTAGTTCCGTCCGATATCCGAGGCCTATTTCTCGAATCAATAATTTTTTCGGATTTGCGTGATTGACCCACAGAATCCTATCCAGGCGTCAGAGTTGTGCTGACTGTTGGTTGGTCGGAAGAACCAGTGGAGGCCGATTTTTATTTTATTTATTTTTATTTATTTACTTGAGTTCTAAATGGTTTTGAACTCGGGTCTCCTACACGGAAAGCAGGCACACTACCATGTGTGCCACGGGCATCACACAACCCAAATGGTAATAATTATTAAAGGAATACGTAATGGTACAATATTCTGGGAAGCTATCTCTTACAATCATAGTAGAATTAATATAGAATATGGAAAACATTTAAAATAAAAAAATATAAAGTGATGATAAAATATAATAAAAACGAGAAATGCAATAGATAGCGTAATGAGAGCCGCAAAAATTAGAAAGCGATTTTGCAACGATAATAGCAAATTACATGACAGGCAAAAATCAAAGATGGGAAAAAATCTCCAGCAGCAGCATACTTGGTGCGCCCGTTTTGCATATAATTTTAACATGTTGCCAGAGTAGCAATATTATGTTGCATAATAACTTGTAATATTACTGTAATAAAATTTAAATTATTACATTATTATTATTACTATTAAATAAAATTTAAAGATAATACAAGATTATTCGTCGATATATATACTTACGTATAAATTAAGTTTGTGAAATATTTTAAAATTATCTATGGATATATACAAAATCTTTTTAACCTTTAAATGGTTCAAGAGTGCAAATTCGCACCGCGAAAATGTTTGAATTACTGACATTTGCACAGACATTTATCGCGGCTTATCCCCACTACGTTAAATATGCCCGGTACCTCAGGAGATAGGTATGAACATGCACAGCTTCAGTTTCGTGCAGATTAACGAAATATTAACTTCGCAAGTTCATTGTGGTGCAAATTCGCACTTATATTTAAATATTATAGTATGTGCACTTATATTCAAATATTATAGTATGTGCACTTATATTCAAATATTATAGTATGTGTAGATCGGTGTTTACTTTTAGCGTTTTACACATTTATAAACATTGTAACATGTTCCTTTTTTTTACATTACGTTATAAACATTGTAATATGTTCCTTTTTTTATATTATAATAACAAATAAAACATTTGTATGTATAATCTTTTTCAATCTGTTTTCTTTGTTTTAACTTCCATGATAATATGAACAGTATTTTTTAATATAATTTTATTTATGTAAACGGTTTTTATTAATATTTTACTTTACAAATTGGCAAGATTTGTTTTTTACATACCTAATTTTCATTGAAATTATTTTTAGAAAGATTTATTAGAAAGATTCAAATTACTATTGTGGGATCTTGAGAAGGATACGAGAGAGATCGGTCTTATTACACGTCCGTTTATTAGGATTACAAAGAAAGAACTGCTCTCTCCAGCGGTCCCGGACCCAAATCCGCTGAAGCGCCACCGCCCGCTACCGTCCTCTGCTCCCTCCCGTCTCAATGCCTGTTGCCCATTTTCCCTAGGAGCGCGGGATTTGAGTTCTTTTCCCTACACTCGGCCATCCTGATATAGGCGTCCTGATATCCTCGGCGCCCTGAAGGCCATTGTCGTCATCTCCCATGGAAAAATCCATATCGTAGTCCCATTCTCGGTGCTGTGGCCATAACTTTAGATGGTCGGCTGAAGTACTTGTACGCTTAGGTCCTTCGTGCTCACCTATTATCTCAACAATATATCTGTCGTGTCTTAGTTCTTTGGCTATACGGTAAGGACCCAAAAATTTTTTATGCATCTTGAGACCAGGTCCTCTTTGAGTGCATTGAATTGCGACAATGTCACCGACTTTATATTTGGTCGCTGGTTTCCGTTTTCTATCATAAGTCTCCCGGTTTTCGTTTTGTATCTTCAATATGTTCTTCTTTGCTTCATTCCGGAGTTTCCTTCCTTTCTTGTTGAAACATATCAAGGGTCAGCTTCTGGAGAGTCTCACGTATCTGCAGGTCGTCTTTCAATCTCATATTTCGTCCTATCAGTAACTCGAATGGAGTCGTTCCAATACTCCAATTAAATGATGCGTTGATAAATTGCTGTACTCGACCCACGTGTTTGTACCATTCCGTAGGTTTTTCTAGAGACAACTTAGTGAGTATGGCGATGATCGATCGACTCATCCTCTCTACTTGGCCGTTACCATGCGGAACACCAGTGGTAATAAGTCTGTGCTCAATATTCTCTTGTTCACAATACTCACGGAAGGCATGCGACGTGAAGGCCGTTCCGCGGTCCGCGATGATGTGTCTGGGTTTACTAAATATTGCAGTCTGTCTCTTCATCCGTGTAATCACTTCCTCGTCGTCATTGATTTAGTTGGATAAAGCCACACAAATTTGGTAAATGCGAC